TATTATGTTTGTGGCATTGTTTTATAAATATTTTTCATAAAAAAGTAAACTATCAAACGACTACAATACGCAAATCTAGAACAATTTGACAGATGAGTTTATTGAGTTTGCTATCTCGAAGCCGGTTAATTTTAAGGAACACTTGGTAAGGATAAAACCTACATTTTACCAAATAACAGTTAACATTAATTGCAAATTAACATATTTCCATTTATATTCTATTTTGCAGTTTGAAGACTCCTAACAATTTTAGGGTTATGTCTTCTGAAGTAGAAAAGGCCCAATCGGCTGCGCCGACAGAGGACACTATCTTTGGGAAAATTCTTCGCAAAGAAATTCCCTGCAATTTCATTTATGAAGATGATAAATGTGTGGCCTTCCACGATATTAATGCTCAGGCACCAACCCACTTCTTGGTCATACCACGTAAACCAATTGTAATGTTGTCCAAAGCCAGTGAGGAAGATGAAAGTTTGTTGGGTCATTTAATGTTGGTCGGCAGCAAGGTTGCCAAGGATTTGGGTTTAGAGAATGGTTATCGTGTTGTCATTAACAACGGCAAAGATGGTGCCCAGTCGGTGTATCATTTGCATTTACATTTCTTGGGTGGTCGCCAAATGCAATGGCCACCAGGCTAAGATTGTGTTGTATTATACATGCATGAATTTTCAAAGCATTTGTAAAATGTTGAAACTGAAATAAAGAATGGAATATAATTCCTTTATAAAGTAGTAGTAAAATAGGTTTTTTATTTATTAATTATAAAACATTTGGTTCCATTAGTATATTTCCCGTTTGTGTGGGTGAGTTTGTTTTCGTTGCATTTCCGGCTGTTGTAATATTGGTCATATTGTAAGGCATTGTAGAGGCTGTATTGTAACGTCGCCTATCAGTTATGCCACTACCATAAAATCCTGTATCACGTGTCTGTTGTTTCTTTTCTATGACCCGATCGAAAAATCGTGATAGCTTCACAGCATCTGTTGTACCCGCCGATATACTTCTGGGATCGCGGCAATTAAGCCATATTTCTTCTGCTCCACATTGTTCAGCTATAATGAAAGATGAATTATGAAATTAGATAAGAAAATATTTACATATTCCAAATTCTTCAAAGTCCAATATTAAGCAATTACAAATCACTTTTTAAAAATATTCCAAGTCATTTTATATTTGAAATGTTGTTGGTTTTATTGTTTTATTTCTGATTTGAAGTAGTTCGAGTCTTTATCTCTAAACGAGATAGCCATAGAGAATACACAATTCGTGCCGGTTATTATCTTTGCAAAGTTCTTGACGTTACATCTTGATAATAAAAGCGGCAAAATATTTTTTTAATATCTTAGTATATCTTAATATAATTGGTCGTCCAAATAAAAAGGTCTGTGGCATCTAGTAGTTTTAGTAGCCGTTCTGAAATCTGGAAAGTGTACAGGATGTAAATGTTTAAACAATTGAGTGAACCTGGTACAATACAAAATAAAGCGTATGACTTCTATGATGAAGTGTGTGGGCATTGGACGTAATATTTGGGCTTGTTCTAGTCTAACCAAAATCTGTAGACGCAAAATGATAAGATTGAACCAGTGAGCGGAGCAGTACAGTCGGACGGAGCCGGCCGTATGATACTCTACACAACTACTCTATTCTTTCTATCGATCTATATTCCGAGCCCGGCAATATTTCACGATATTTGCACCCTCTTGACAGATTAAAGGTCAGAAGCTCCTCTTTCTTACCCAGGCCTATTTTCCGAATATTATGAAAACAGTCCTCCTAATTTGTTGGCCAGATTCCCTTTGCCTTGAGCTGTGTTGTAATGTCCGACTTATAATTGTGGCCTTAGAGCGGTCAAGATATACAAACAAGTTATCGTAACCGTTCCTCTAGGCGTCGTCCTTGGCCATAACCTGAACTTTATGTAACATTTCTTAACCATCATCTCGACATTTCTGCGCTCTAGCGGTATAATGGTAATACTGAACAATACCAGAATACGTACACACCTGTAAAGTTTTATGTATGACTCTCGCATCCGAGTACATACGGCAATACAATGTGAAATTACAGGTCAACCACTCCTCTCGGATATATCAAGTCTATGTCCGAGTCTATGTCCTTCAGGAGTAAATATATACGCCATTTCACTTAAAAGTCTGCGTTCATTTGACCCACTAAATATGATCCGATTCTCCTGAAAATAACCTTGTATATTCCTGGCCAGACTCCATCCCGCGTATAAAATTTGGTGATGTTTGGATCATAATCCTCTTAAAATTAACGGATCATTACCAAAAACAGTAGGGGTCTCCTTTGGTTAGAACCTGTTCTACATGCAACATTTCGTGGCAATTAGTCCATAACTGTGGCCTGTATCGTGTTTACAAATTATAATGGACAAACGAACGGACACACATGGCTAGATCGTGGCGTGACAAAGCTCTAATACCCTTACAACACAGTTGTGTAGGATGTAACAATATTTATTGAAACCCTATTGACGTATTCTAAGAAGATGGAACGCGAATGCCAGACCTCCTTAATATATTTATATTGGTATGCGACAGAAATTCTAGGTCTGGAGCGGGTGCGAATCATAATAATAATCAAATGCTAATTTGAGGTAATGACCTCAAGGCATTCGTACGAACAATTTCCTTTAATTGCACGTTTTATGAAAACTCTTTTCATTCCGCCTCTAACATTTTTCAGGGAAATTTATACTTCTCGGTATGTAGGGTACCAAAGCTGATTAAATCAGTGCACGTCAAATTTTAGATTTGCCGTCTTATTTCTCTTGCGCTTAATATTTTATTTTTCATTCGGTTTTCAAACCATCGAAATATACGAAACCCCATGAAGTAAATAAGAATTAAATTATATGTCTACTTAGGAATGTCCTTATGTCTATTGAAATCAAGATTAACCGCATTTCCAACCGAAAAACATGAGCATTCCCTTTCTTGGTGTGGAAAACACGTCCTTGCAGAAAATTTTCGATATAGGTTCATATTTTACCACTTCAGGATTTTTAAACCGAAGTATCTGTAATTTTGTATTTCTTTTTTAGGCTATAAAAAAATCGAGGCATTCTCCATAAGTTAGGCCAAATATATCGACGTTTTTACTTTGGAATTCCATATAGCGGAAAGAATGGGTTCTTTGAAAGGAGCGCTATGAACTGTCAATTCGAAATATTCCATTTCCCTATACATCAGGTGGTACGTCGAAGAACACTTTTCCAAAGCAATAACAAAGAACTACAAAATTACAATAATATATAAATATATATACAACTTGCATTTACTTTTACCTATGCCGCCTGCCTTCTGCACAGTTTTCGGCTGTCTCCGCTCATCGACCAAATCCAATTTTGTACCCATTACCAGTATGGGTATTTGGGCTGCTCCCACAAACTCCTCCGGGTCAAATGCATTCTGTTCATCATTTAATGGTTTGTGGCTACTACTAGGATTACTGCCAGGCTTATATGTATCTTTACCCTCTTTACTCAATATTTCGTATAGCCAATCACGTAAATTATTATGACTTTTACGATTTGTTAAATCATGTACGAGAATAATACCATCGGTGGGTGCATAGAAAACACTACGAGAATTTTTATGACTCAGTGAACCACCAACATCGAATAGTTCAATGAAGTAGGGTTTTTGTTGTGGTGTACCCTCTTTATATTCGTGTAGCTTAACTTCAATATTGCAGCCTACGGTCCAACCAGGACGGCTGAGACTTTCACCATGGGCTATCAAATGGGTAAGGCATGTTTTCCCAACACCTAAAAAAGAAAAGAACAATTTGTACTAAAGAGCTATCAATACAGGAACATGTTTTGGAACAAACATGACTTTCAGTTTGTCATCTTTTTTCGGTAGTTAAAAATTCTGAACATACCTGAATCACCCACTAATAGTATTCGAACTTTATCTATTGTATTGCTCATATCACAATGAAGTAATAACATAACATTTAACGTGATGGACATAAATTGTACGTTAAATTCACATAGTTTTAAAATTTGTCGTTAGAAATATTTAATTGGATTAATTTACAATTAAATATTTACAATATTTAATTTACAATTGGATTATGTTACAATTCAATAAAGAAAAGAGAAATTGCATAAATAGTAAAGAGTTAGGCCATAGCAACTTATAAATTAAAATTTTTTCATACTGTCCCTGCAAGCATTTGGAAGTGAGTTTCTAACTCCATCTTCAAATAATTATCTACTTCGACACTTATTTTTTGTAAAAGCGTGATACTTCGTAATTTTACAATAACAAATGAATTGTTAACCAATTTCGATCGTCTGTAGTAACTACTTAGTTAAATGAAAGAAGATGAAAATACGATAGCTTCGTTATTTAACTGTCGTTCTATAAATATTTGTCATCGAATAAAATTTTGTGGAAAGTACTACATTTTCATATAAAAAATCTTCGGCCTGAAACATTTTTCATTGGTGTATCAAATAATATAGAGAGGCGCGGAAAAATATAATTATAGATTTATGGTCATGGATGTATAACTCTTTGGTTATAAGTTCAAGTAAAGAAGTATCATTTGGCACATTCATCATTCAAAGTTAACATGAGCTCTACATCAAAAAAGGCAATTGAATTGAGAAGCAAGAGGGAGGCATCTGGATTATTTTCAACCTTTTTCCCAAAGTCAACAGAATGCAACATCCACCGCAAAAAGTAATGTGTATTGAGCAAATTAGAACATCAAAAGGCAATGATATTTTAATGTGAATGGCAGTTCGGAAAATAGTGAAAGTGAATATGACGGCGAAGATAAAGCTGAATGCACAACAAAAAAATTATGAATTTTTTTCTAAAAAATTATCGGAATCGGCAATCCAAAATTTTGTAAATCATAACGCATAATAAGCTCTTGGTCATGTTAAGAGAAGAAGAAATCAATGTACATAAATACTGCAGGACATTAAAAGGAACTCCAAACGAAGTATATATTCGTAGTATTTTAAGGGGATCATATACTCATTATGGGTTAGAAGACTGTCATAATGCCCACTTCCTTAGAAAAAGAATTGCAATTGTTGCCACCGCTGCCATTTTATGTTTTCGACGATTTTAAAAATGTTGATGCCAAACATCTAATAGAAGACGAAGTTCGGGAACAATTGGTAATAATAAGCTGAAATGACCTGGCGTGGAACTATAAAAATCTCAGTTTTCAGCGATTTACTAAATATAGTATAATAAGAGGCAAGTCAGCTTACTTTTGTGTTCATTTGAAATTAAACCATTAATTTTTACAGATATGTGCCATCTAAAATTTCACCAGACGTCGTTGTCGGACCTAAACAAAGTTTGTCAACAACATATTTTACACGCTCGGGATAGAATACACAAAAAACAACCGAAGACTGTAAATCAATTATTGAAAATATAACTATTATTATAATTTAACTAAATAATGTTTTTAGTTTTACTTAGTATTAACCTTAAAATCAATATTATGTTTGTTTGGCGTTAAATGTTGAATTTTTTTTTTTTTGCAAAATATAGGTTATTCATTATTGTTATTGCAATTACTCATTATTCATACAAGTATTTTACTTTGGGTATCAAAAACTCACTACCAGGCGATATCGTATTTTTGCAAATACGGTTATTGAAGAAATGAAACACGCATTCGTCACTTCTTAAACGTATCTTCTTAGTGAACGTTTATAGTAACTAAGGCGATAATATTTAAGGTAACAAAACAATGTCATTTTGGAGTGTCGCTTTATTAACTTCAAATTGTGACGAAGAAGATACTTTTTAAAGGTAACGAGTACATGGTTCATTTCTTCCCAAACGGTATAACTTATTTGTTAAAAAATACGATATCGCCTACGAGTGTTTTCATCGCCTGGTAGTAACTTTTTGGGTATGTTTTGGATAGAAAATGCTTGCTGGGGTAGTTTGTTATGCCAAAGTCATGTACAAAATGTTTGTCTGTGTGTATAATGTTTTGCAAAATATAACAAAAAATATTCGAAAATCGATTTGATTGAACACGAATTTTGCAACATTTGTAAAAGAAATGTATGATTTGTGAATGAATCAACATGTAAATCATATCCCCAACTCGATTTTGAAAAGAAAATCTGAATATTCATTCATTTTTCGCGTTTTTGGTAAAATGTTAAAAATATGTCAAATGAACAGAACGACTTGTTGCACTTGTTTTCATTTATTCTGACATTCCCAGCAAGCATTTTCTATCCAAAAAATATCCAAAAAGTTACTACCAGACGATGAAAACACTCGTAGGCGATATCGTATTTTTAACAAATAAGTTATACCGTTTGGGAAGAAATGAACCACGTACTCGTTACCTTTAAAAAGTATCTTCTTCGTCCCAATTTGAAGTTAATAAAGCGACACTCCAAAATGACACTGTTTTGTTACCTTAAATATTATCGCCTTAGTTACTTTCAACTTTCACTAAGAAGATACGTTTAAGATGTGACGAATGCGTGCTTCATTTCTTCAATATCAATTTTGATACCCAAAGGAAATAAAATTCTTGTATGAATGAGTAATTGCAATAATAATGAGTAACGTATATTATGCATAAAAATTTGAACATTTAACGCTAAACAAACATAAAATTGAAGTTAAGGTTAATACTAAGCAAAGCTAAAAACATTTAGTTAATTTATAATAATAGTTAATTTTTCAACAATTTTATTAATTTACAGTCTTCGGTTGTTTTTTGTGTATTCTATCCCGAGCGTGTAAAAAATGTTGTTGATAAACTTTGTTTAGGTACAACAACGACGTCTGGGAAAATTTAAGATGGCACATATCTGTAAAATCAACACAAAAGTAAGCTGACTTGCCTCTTATTATAGTATATGTGTTAAACCGCTGAAATCTGGGTTTTTTTACAGTTCCACGCCATGTTATTTCAATTGCTTATTGATCACTTATAACAGCATTAATTGCTGATTTAACAAATGATGATATTTCTCTTCCCCCAACACGATTTATTAATAATTTCTGTATCAAAATTGTATTTAGAATGGTGGCAGAAATTATGATAAAAGTTATATATTATTACCAATTGATCCCGAACTTCATCTTCTTTTAGAAGTTTTGCATCAACATTTTTAAAATCGTCGAAAACATAAAATGGCAGCTATGGCAACAATTGCAATTCTTTTTCTAAGGAAGTGGGCAATATGGAATGTCTTATCTCATTCTTTAGAGTGATTACTTGCTCCGTAAGTGATTAACATCTGTGTGGCCATTTGATTTTTGTTAGTTTCCTTTAAAAAGATTTCCATGGTTTCTTTTAGACTTTTTATTTCAATTTGATGCTCATAAACACTCCGACTTTTAACATCTTTAAGATTTGAGAAAATTATATGTAAGTATTGCATAAAAATTGCTTTAGTTTTTAATTTAATTTGTATACCCTTCACAACACTGTGGTAAAGGGTATTATGTTATGTTAAATTGTAAACCAAAGTCCCTATATATCTTTCGATTTGCACGAAATTTGGCACAACGAACTAAATTAAGTCTAGAATGATATGTGCAAAGTTTAGTTAAAATCGGTTCAGATTTAGATATAGCTCCCATATGTATTTTCATCCGATTTAATTGGTGCACCAAAGACCCTATATATCTTTCGATTTGCACGAATTTTGCAGAAAAGGTCACTACTTTTACAAGTGCTTACAAAATCGTGAGGACAGCGGATATACTGCCCCGGTAAAATTATTAAAGGAGTTAATCTGATATGGACCGAGGGAAATCATTGGAACAGTGATAGTATCCACTGTTCCAATGATTTCCCTCGGAACTTCAGGCTTAAATAATTGTCTTGAATAATTTGAGTTGATTGCTAGTTAGGGCTTTGTTGACCGTGATAGTAGCAGTGATGATGCATAGTTGTTTTTATACCCTTCACCACACTGTGGTACAGGGTATTATGTCTTTGTGCATATGTTTGTAACAGGCAAACGGAAAAGAGATAGACACATGGTTCTGTCCGTCTGTAGATGTTAAATTGTAAACAAAATACAGGTCGCATTTATAATCCGATTTGGATGAAATTTGGCACAAGTAACTTATTTGGCCCAAGGACGAACCCTATTGAAATTGGGAAAAATCGGTTCAGATTTAAATATAGCTCCCATATATATTTTCGTCCGATTTAAGGTACATGGTCAAAGTCATTCCATATCTTTCGATTTGCACGAAATTTGGCACAGAGTACTGAATTAGGTCCAGAATGATGCATGCCAAATTTCGAGAAAATCGGTTCAGATTTAGATATAGCGCCCGTATATAGTTTCGTCCGATTTAAGGTAAATGGTGCACCTATGTCCCTATCATTCGAATGGCATGAAATTTGGTATAGAGTACTGAATTTAGTGCAGAATGATGTGTGCCAAATTTCGAGAAAATCGGTTCAGATTTAGATATAGCTCCCATATATATTTTCTTCCGATCTTAGGTAAATGGTGCACCAAAGTCCCTATATATCTTTCGATTTGCACGAATTTTGGCACATCGTACTGAATTAAGTATAGAACGATGTGTGCTAAATTTCGTGAATATCGGTTCAGATTTAGATATGGCTCCCATATATAATTTCGTCCGATTTTAGGTAAATGGTGCACCAATGTCCCCATATATCTTTCGATTGTGTTATATCGTACTGAATTAAGTATAGAATGATCTGTGCAACATTTCATGAAAATCGGTTCAGATTTACATACACTTCCTACATATATTTTCGTCAGATTTTAAGTAAATGGTGCACTAAAGATCCATAGCTAGGCCGATTGACACAACGTACAGAAGTTAATATAAATTAATCGCTGGCAATTTTCCTTGAAATCGGTTCAGATGTAGGTATAGCATAACTTCCATATATAATTTTGATTTATTCATATTCATGTTACCAAAT